TTGTGGGTTTGTGGTGCAGTTATGAGATGCTGAGTTTGGAGGAGCAGGTTGAGATTGCTCACCAGATTGGAACTACACGCCCTCAGATAATGTCTAACCTTAATGACTTGACCATCAGCACCAGCTTCTTGTAATTCTTTTTCCTTTACAACAGCAGTCTTCTACTTTGTACCTGAAGCCTGGAAGTTGCTTCAATTCCCTTCCCTCCAGCATCTGTTATCCTTCAGGAAGGATTAAGCCCTCCGACACTGATAGTCTAATACTGTAAATATAATTTTTTGTTTATAATTTGTCTTTCCAGTTCTCCCAATATAAGATGCTAGAGGCAATCTCTGATTATGATTTTACTTCTATATTTTTTTTAGAAATTTCAACTTTTCCAATATGTTCTCAAATTGAGTAATTCTTATCGAAGGATAACTAATATAGAATCTCAAAATCAGGTAAAATTGTTAGAGTGATTGCTTTGATTTTACATTAAACGTGTCTATATTCTTAGCATGAGGACATGAGGTGATAAATTTTTTATTGTAAGGTCTAATTTGCCCCTTTTTCTTAACATTTTTTTTATTAACAACGAAGTTCATATAGTTTCACTTTATTGTTTTAAATTTGCTTTCGCAAGTTTTATTTTTTCCGGCTACTTTATTAGTAATTGTGTCAAATCAATACAAGACTCATAAAATGGGACATAGCGAATAATAAACTTAAAACAAAGGAGTGAAGGGTTAGATGGGTACTCGAAGTTGCATAAAAAGGGTCAAATAAGTCTTTATATATGAGGTTCTGTCCGTCTGCCGCCATTTGGGGCGGTTCCAGTGGAAGTTTTTGACGGAATTTGTTGAGCATCTTATTCATTAAGTCTAGTTTACTCATATCAAATTTCAGTTAAAACTTCAATCGAGAAGCTATTCAAATGAATTTTTGAAGATAACGGCGGAGTTAAAAATGCAGTTATCTTCAAGAATTCATTTGAATGCCTTCCCAATTGATGTTTTAGCTAAAATTTGGTATGAGTAACTAGATGTCTAGATTTAATGAATAAGATGCTCAAAAATTTCTTCAAAAAATTCCACCGGGAACCGCCCCAAATGGCGACGGCCGGAGAGTAATGACTTATTTGACTCTTTTTATGCAACTTCGAGTATCATTCTGACTAAGGGTGGACTCGGTTCGGGCCGGGCCCGGTTTGGGGCTTGAACCGGCTGGGCCTCAGTTCAAGGTAGGGGAGGCCCGGAACCGGCCCGGGTAACCCCTGGGTCCGGTTCGGGCCGGGCCCGGTTCGGTTCTATATTTTTTTTTTGGGTTTTCCTAATCAACCCCCTACCCTCCCCCTCAACCCCAAACCACCTCAAATGGTCCAAAATACACAATCCAACCCAAAAAATCAAAAAAAATCAAAAAAAAAAAATTAAATCCGGGCCGGTTCACCAAAATGAAGGCCCTAGCCTGGAACCGGTAGCCACCAGGCCGGGTCGAATCGAACCGCCCATGAGCCGGGCCGGGCCGGTACAAATAGTGACCGGGGCGGGCCGGTTCGGGCCGCCCGGCCCGAGTCCTCCCCTAATTCTGACCTTTTACTCTAAAACAAAGAGGGTGAACTATTAACTTGAATATGTATATAATCAATTAAACAAACAAATTGGACTATTGATGATATATTACTTAAAGGAGTGTATATACTATTCAAGATTCATCTAAAAAACATTAAATTAGAAATTTAGAAAAGAAATAATCAGGAAGTTTTCTTTTGGACTGAAATTTGCTGGTCTGGTCTGATTTGGTCTGGTCTAGTAAACGTTTGGTCTCTGTGTATTTTATAACTACAGAAGTATGGTCTGGTCTAGTCTGATCTGGTCTGGGACTGAAAACAATCCAAAAGAAAACATCCTCAAAATTAAAGAAAGAACAAAAGACCGCATAATTTAAACAAACAAATTGGACTACTCTATAAGTAGGGATGGATCCATAATTTATATATAAGGGTTGGGGGAAACAATTTCCTCGTTAGTATAAAGGAGTATTGGCTAAAGATAAAAAAAGTTTTTCAGCTTATGACTTTAAAAAAAGTTGAAATAAGTGTTTTCAAATGACTACTTCTACTTAAATTAAGCACTTGTTGGGATAATGGCCCAAGTAAAAGTTCGGCCCATTTACCCTTTCATTCGGACGTACGTCCGTACAGAACTGGGTAGGCTAAGCTGACAGGCAACTTGGAAAGGACGGACGTCATGACTAAGGCTTTGGCTTACCAGCCCATTCCGACGAACGGCTACTCAGTTGACAGTGAGCCAGGCCCTCAGACCACTAGGATGACGACGAACGTCGTCAGACAAACCCATAACCACTGGAGGCAATTCAATCCACCAGGCAAATCCACAAGGGCCAAGGGACGAACGGCCCACTACCCTTTGTGGTATCACCAGGAAGCGGCCCACCTCTCCCAGCTGGACGAACGTCTCCACTAATTAGGCGGGAAACCCAGATCCTGGCGGGAAACGCATTTAATGCTGAAGATTTGGTGGTTGGAGCACCAGCCATTCACAAGCCTCCACGACAGCGTAGCCAGCTGCCCATTGGAGGTATAAATAGCAGCATTTATTTCATTGTAAATGGTTAGCAACTTTCTATTCTTAGCACTCTAGCTTATAGTCCGGCCTCTTACCCGCAGCACTTCTACTGCCTTGTAAGACCAACGGCCGACGAGCCTTTAACGAAAACTACTGTATTAGGGAGTTATTAACAGATCAATAATACCTAATCACTTACTTGCTACTTACTGTTTCTTAATCCATCTCACTTGTTATTCACTCCACTCGAAATCCTTGGGCTTACAATACATTAATATTGTATTTACATTATCATTTAATTTCTATCATATCAACCATTTGTTTGAACAGTAATAGGCCGGGATAATATATCCCAACACTATTCAAGATTCATCTAAAAAACATTAAATTAGAAATTTAGATAAGAAACAATCAGGAAGTTTTCTTTTGGACTGAAATTTGCTGGTCTGGTAAACGTTTGGTCTCTGTGTATTTTATAACTACGGAAGTATGATCTGGTCTGGGACTGAAAACAATACAAAAGAAAACATCCTCAAAATTAAAGAAAGAAAAAAAGACCGCATAGCACAATATAACAAATTTAAAGTCCAAACCACCAACTATGAATGCAAAGCAGTTGATACGGAGTGATATATTTTGGTGGTATATCACCACATTGATCCAAACTCAATACCCAATACAAACAAAAAACGACCATGTTAAAATATTGCTTTTAAGAGTTTAACCATTCGCCAACCTGTGCTCATTAATTTATACTACGTACATCTCAATTTTGTTTTTGGTCATCAATGCATCTAAACATTATTCCTTTTGCAAATCTCAAGGTCGTCTGTTTGAATCCCTCTTTCAATTACATCATGTGTTTGATTCATCTTCATACATTAATATTGTATTTACATTATCATTTAATTTCTATCATATCAACCATTTGTTTGAATCTAAGTTTAAACTTTACCGGTGGAATGTCGCAAAAAAACAAAACTTTACTGGTGGAAGATTTTTTCCATAAACAACATCTGCAGGCTCTATTAGCAAGAATTTGTAATATCTCGTGCTATGAACATTTTTAAAAACTTTCAGATAGCATTTTGTTGGGGAAAAACACGACACCCCAACCTTTACCAGGATCACGAGCTAAGAAAAAAACTCTTGTATTATATATTTGAAATTTACAAGAGTGTACAAACGAACGAGTTTCTCACTTCACACTTTCTAGTTGGGAATACTCACTCTTCCTCACTTAATTATGAGAAGCCTTTCTTTCACACCACAAATGAAAGGCTACACCATCTATTTATACTACTCACAAAGGAGTAGGGACTCCCTCTCTAGAATCTTCCACCCACCTCTCTATATTCTAGATTCTTTCAAGGAGCCTCCACAAGCTTCCATTATCTTCTTGAAGAATCTAGATGACTCCACACTTATTTAGAACACTCTAGACCACTCTACAACCTTCTACACATTTCTAGACATTTCTAGAGATTTCTACATTTCTCTAGAGACTAGAGTATTCTAGAAGATTCTATAACATTCTACACACATCTAGAGAATACTATATTTCTCTAGATAATTCCACAATATTCTAGAGAATTCTATTAATCTCCACATAGTCCTAGAATTCTCTAATTTCAAAAAGTATTTGGAAATATTGAATTACATCCTAACACATTTTTAGGATCTTACATGCAAAAATAAGATTTACAATTTCTAGATGTGGAAAACGAACTTGATTTGCAAAAATCGGTTTATAATTCGATTGATGATAATCTTAATATTATTTTTAATTTAAATAAAGTATATATAGATTTTGAAACTTTCTAAATGTAAGTTATATGGTCACCGACTCGATCACACATACTCCGTAGATTATTTAGACACCATTTAAAAACCATTGAAATGCAATAGGGAAAAATAGGATGAAATGCATTGGGCGATAACAAAAAACAAAAGTTGCAACCTGTAATCTGTTCCGCAACTTTTATCCCACTTCGATCGATTGGTTTCCGGAATGCAAGGATATCAACATGCAAGAGCTGTTGGTGACGCCGGAGAAGAGAAGAGAAGAAGAGTAGAAACTGAGGAAGTAAGTATTCAATCGCCCACACTAATTAATTAAGTCCCACACCGACGCCGGATACCGAGCGACGCCTTGCCTGAGTCTATAAATAACGTTGTACAGTTGCCGATATACTCACCCTCTGGGACTGACCAAGTTCTGCTGGGTTGAGCTGTACACGAAGTAAAAGTCAATATTTTAGAGTAATTACGAAGTACAAGTTGAGCACAATTATATAATCAACAAAGTCAATATTTTGTCTACCATCCTTATTATTCATTAATTTTAATTTAATGCTCAAATACGATTTAGAAGTGGAATAAAATGAAATAAATGAGATACTAAAACATGAATACATATATCCCTGAACAAACAAAACGAGAGCCGGTGTTCCACTCCACTCCACTCACACTCGCACAGTCGCACTCCCACCGCCACTGAATCAACGTCAACATCCTCGAGCATTTCCTTCCTTTCCTATCGAAGAAAGGGGGAGTCGAAGGGGGGGAACAAGAAAGAAACAGAAAAGGAAAGAAAAAGAAAGAAAGGGAAAAGTAAAGAAGAACAAGAAAGAAAAGGAAAGAAAGGGAATAACATTAGCTGGGGACTCCATAAGTATTCACTTTTCATTTATTAAATGACATACATTGCTGCTAGTTAATTGCTTGCTTGTGTAGATTGAGATTGCCCTGCTTTAAGAGTTCATTTATTGTTTTTTTTCTTCATGGCTCTAATTGGTATTTTATGATACATTAGTTCATTTAGTTGTGCGATGTTGCTTTACCTGGCCATGCAAAGCTAGTCTCTCAAGGTGAGCATAAATCCTTAGAAACGGTAGGAACTCGTTCATTTTTATTCCATCTATAAAAAAGGGGGGAGTCGAGAAGGGGGGTTACAGGAAAGGAATAGCAGAGGAAGTAACAAGAAAGAAACAGAAAAGGAAAGAACAAGAAAGAAACATAGACTTCTCAGTAGTGCAGAAGAAGACTGCTCACATTGTCCTGTTATTTTTTTTAGCAATTTGTTCGGAATTTGATCTTTTGTTTCTTGAAATTGTCTATTGATTCAGCTCTTAGTTGTTGACCCCTTTTCTCACCAGTCTGACATGAAATTCTTATTACAGATTCTTCTACATGCACGGTTTCTATCACCACTCCAGCTATGTTTGGAAGCTCAAAGAGGTTAATTTCATCATGCACTCTCTACAGTGATGAAGGTCCTGAGCCATGGCTCCGTAAGACTAGTACTGATGCTTGGCTTTCTACTGGCACTGGGGAGGCAATTGATGGGGCTGATGGTATATCTCATGATCAGGGAGATGTGTAGTGTACTGTGCTGTTAGTTATGAAGATGGTAATCTTGAGGTCTTTGATGTGCCCCATTTTACCTGTGTTTTCTCCGTGGATAAATTTGTGTCGGGAAGGAGTCGTTGACACCTTGACCCAACAAGATCCATCTCTTGGTTCTTGTCTAAAAAGTTCTGGCGAGGTTTCTGGACATGGGAAAAAGGAAGCCCTTCAGAAGATCAAAGTAGTTGAGTTGGAAATGCAGAGGTGGGCAGGGCAACGTAGCCGTCCTTTTCTTTTTGGAATATTATCTGATGGAACAATTCTCTGCTACCTTGCCTACATTTTTGAAGGTTCTGAAAATTATTCACCCAGCTCTATTAATCCTAGTAACAGTTCTGGTACCTCTAGGCTTCGAAATTTAAGATTAGTACGCGTTCCACTTGAAAATTATGCAAGGGAGGAGGTATCGTCTGTAAAACGATCACAGCGCATAATTTTTTTTTTAAGAATGTTGGTGGTGAAACGGATCTGAATGAATCACCAGGTAATTTCAATCTTCTCAATATGTTCTCCGGACAAAGATTCATAATGTTTTTCGACGTTTCTCTTGTGCACATACTTTGAAGTAACAACCTTACGCATCATAATACATAGGAATGCGATATTTTGAAATAGGCATGTATAGGTATTTTCTTAGATTTGTTGCACTAATTTTCCTTTCCTATCAATATAATCTTGGACATATAATCTTCATTCCTAACAGTGGTTTAACGAGCTGTCTGATTTTCGGTTATGAGCGTGGTAGGGATCTCGTCCGATTTCTTGGACAAAGGATTAGTATGGAGGTACAGCCAAGAAAGAGAAAATAATTTGGATCTATAGTTTAAGAGAACAGAATTTCGGAATAAGCCTAATGTAGAATTTACCGGTGCCTGACTTAATCAAGCATACAAGAACAAGTTTTCCAAAGGTTGTTTGTTAATCAATAGAGAGGACCTGTATATAGTTATTTCAAGAAGCCTAATCTTAATAACAAATGGAAATAACAATATCATTACTACCAAGAAACTACTAAGTACTAACTAACAGTTAATAACAATAATAGTAACTCTTAAAATAACAAGATCTCTTCCGTCCTATAGCATGGCGGCCTTAACAGGAGACTTGCCCACATCCCTTTCTTGAATATTCTGGTGGAATCTGAATCTGCATTCTTTATTTTGAAGAGTAAATCTTGACCTAACCAGCATCCATATTTTCTTCATTAATGATTTCCATTCATTTTTACAGATTGTTTTGTTTCTCTTTTTATGTGCTACATTTCTTTCTCTAGTGAAATTCTCCTTGGCTGATTGAGGTATTTATAATTCAAGGGCGCTCTAAAGATTTGCCATCTTCCATCTCTACTATCCTATGACAACTATTGGCCAGTTCAGAAGGTATAATCTGTCATTTTTTCTCTTTCACATTGCATTATCTGTCTATGCGAAGGCTGTGCATTATACCTTATGATTATCTCGATTAACACTAGTCCCCTTGGTTCATCTCACATACTTGGATTCTTTTGGTTTCTAAACAATTACATAAAACCACTGTATGATTTTTTGGCATTTGAGTAGTTTAACAGATTTTGAATTAGCTTTATATTATATATATGAAGAATATTAAGGCTTTCTTAGGCCTCGTCTGGGGGTTGGTTTCAGGGTCTCTGAAAATAAAAAACCCAGATTTTTTAAACCATCAAGCTGACAGTTTTTCCTTGGTGCCGGCACCGGCTAGCTCCCCCTGGTTCCGCCCCTGTTCTTGTTGCACATGTTTTATGATCATCCTTAAGGGTCTCTTCGTTTGCGTCATTCCAACAACCGACAGGGAGCAAATAAAAGAACTTCTCATTCGAAAGATTGATTTGGAGATCCTCATGAATGACGTACCAAATTAAAAGCCAAAGGTGAATAACGTACCAAATTAAATCACTAAAATTTTAAATTGTTGTAATATAAAAAATACAACCAATTGCATACAACCAATTATAGGCCTAAAACAAGATTCTAATCATATCTTAAAAGCCAAATGAACAGGATTAGAGCACTCTCGCCTGAAACTTCAAATCCAGAGGAGAACCTATCAATCCAAAAAGGATGGCATCAAGTTTCAGCAGTTACTTCTCAAATGATTAGCAACATAGCGTAATGGAGACAAAAAAGGATGAACCTTAGGAAAGATATAATAACCAGACCGAAGAATAAAACACAAGTCTGCCAATGCCGCATGATATCAAGTAGCACATGGGAAAAAAGAACACAAAGAATTAGCAACCAACAATGACTTCCTTTGGATTGGCTTCTCATGGGATGCAACATATTACACTGACAATCAATATCCAGAGCATCCTAAACAAAGATAAATTTCCCATTTTCTTGGCAAATCATTAAATCATAAATCTCACATTCTACCAATCTTTTCAAAATTATCTCACATATGATTTTTAGCTTTTCTTCTTAAAAGTCTTCTCAAATCATTGTAGTCTCTTTTTATAATTTTTTCTGGGTTACTTCCTTATATTTTTCGGCAATAGGGTAATGATGATGATGATTATGACGACTTGTTTATATTTTTCCTTTAAATTGTTTAGAAAAGAGAAAACATAGGGTAAAGGATGAGTTCTGTTCGTGTAGGGACCTCATTACTACCCTTGGGACCTCATTATTCTTTTTGGGCAGTCGATGGGAGATAGTCTGCTCGTGCAGTTTACTAGTGGTCTAGGAGCACCGATGTTTTCTTCAGGGGTAAAGGATGAGGTCTGTACTTTGAATGTTATACTAGTATAACTTTAAATGATATTTTTACCAATTACAATTTTATTTATCACAATTTCAACATTAATAAATTAAAATCCGAATGGACCCGAAACCCGACCGCAACCCGACCGCAACCCGACCGCAACTTATACGGAAAGAATGAAAGATAAAATGTCATAAATTCAATCTTGTGTGTCTATCTCTCTCATGCACACATGTTCACCGTGCACATTGATGCTTCTTGAATAAACGTATTTTTAATGACACGTAGATTTTTCGAAATAATCTCATTCCATCAAAATTATATAATTCATCATCTCAAAATAATCAGATCTTTTGTGGGTCCTATACTCAGTAATTAATACTTCCTTCACAATAATCTTGAGATAATCTAAATTCATATTTCAATCCCGGAAGATTTTGTCAAATAATCTCACCAAATAATCTTCATCACTCAATCATGATCCCCAAAATAATCCGCCACATCAACAACTTAATCCTCAAATAATCCTATGAATGCAGTTCGTATACCATACGACCGTCCCACCATGAGCATCATGCTCCCACTCCCAAAACGATGTAGTTTTGGGCAATTTAAAAAAAATATTCGTGTGAACAGTACACGCGTGTACAACGGTTTTTTTTGTCCCAGTAACATGGATGGTGTAACATGAATTTTTAAGCTATTAAGATCAATTTTTCATGGTTTACATTGAAATCAATGTTTATAATATCTCAAACACAAAAAAAGTCATTGTTCAATTTTCCAACAAGTTACATTATGCATACACCCAAGTTACATTTTCCATCAACGCGGGTTACATTTGTAATAACACTAGTTACATTAAAAAATCAACCCCTGCTATTTAAACAAAAAAAATGATCTTTTCTAAAAAATTATTTTTTATGACCATGATATTAAAAACAAAACTTATTCACGTTTTACCTAAAACAATTGTGCAATTAGACTCTTTTTTTTCATTGTATACATTGAAATCAATATTTGACAAGTTACATGTTGGATGAGCTTGAGTTACATTGATCAATAATGCGAGTTACATATCTTTACATGCGAGCTACACCATCCATGTTAATGGGACAAAAAAAACCACCATACTGTTCACAAGAAAATCACGAAAATCAAATAATCAATATGTGAAGAAAATAAATCTTGTAGAAGTTAACAAAGGAAGGATGATGAATGGTATTGAAAATTTAAAATCTAAAATAGTGAACTTTTAGCATCAACTCCTCATAATTGCAAAGGATAACCGACAAGTTGAATATTGTTTCAAAGTATTAGAGGGAATAAGTGTCATATACTAATGTACCACTATTCATATATACTTATTATAATAAATAATAAATACATAAACTATTAAAATATATAAGTTAATTGTGCAGGTCGGGCAATGGTGCAGGTAACCGTATCCAAATTAAACGGGGCGGGTAACGGGGCGGGTAGGTATAAACCCATAACCGCCCCATTACCCGTTTACATAAATCGGGTATTCCCCGCCCCGTACCCGTTACCGAGTCAAAGCAATTTTCCCCATTTTGACCGGTTCGGTTCGGTGCGGGTATCCGTCGGGTTGGGCTAAATTGTCATCCCTAATCGAGGCTATATTACTCACAATTGTACGGAAACCCGAGCAGCAGTCCAGCCTAGCTTTGATCCACATCTCCTCCTAGACCGACCCCCGACCCCCCCCCCCCCCCCCCCCCCGGGCTGGGCCAAGGCCCGGAACTAGGACTGGTTCATCGGGTTGGTCCAGGCCAACACAGTGCCGGGCCGATCAGACCGGAACTGGGCCACCACTAATTTAAAACACCCTTTTAACTACTTGCACCTTTTAGTTTTAAGTGCTTAATTTAAGCAGAAGCAGTCATTTGAAAACACTTATTTCAACTTTTTTAAAGTCATAAACTGAAAAACGTTTTTTTATCTTTAGCAAACACTCCTTTATACTAACGAGGAAACTGTTTCCCCCGACCCTTAGATATAAATTATGGATCCATCCCTACTTATAGAGTAGTCCAATTTGTTTGTTTAATTGATTATATACACATTCAAGTTAATAGTTCACCCTCTTTGTTTTAGAGTAAAAGGTCAGAATAGTTATGGACCCGGGCCAGGCCGGTTCTGGGCCGGGCCCGGCCGGGCTTTTTTTTGGGAAGGAAGGCCCGGGTAGCCACCGGGTCCGGGCCGGGCCTCCGGTTAGGTTTTTTTTTTTTGAAGATAACTGCGTTTTTAACTACGCTGTTATCTTCAAGAATTCATTTGAATGTCTTCCCGATTGGAGTTTTAGCTGAAATTTGATATGAGTAAACTAGACTTAATGAATAAGATGCTCAACAAATTTCGTAAAAAACTTCCACCGGGAATTGCCCCAAATGGCGGCGTCCGGACAGAACCTCATATATAAGGACTTATTTGACCCTTTTTATGCAATTTCGAGTACCCATCTAACCATTTACTCCTTTGTTTTAAGTTTATTATTCCCTATGTCCCATTTTATGAGTCTTGTATTGATTTGACACGATTACTAATAAAGTAGCCGAAAAAATAAAACTTGCAATAGCAAATTTAATACAATAAAGTTATACTATATGAACTTCATATTTCTTTCTAAAAAGGAAACATGACACTTATTTTGAGGTAATTGAAGAAGGTAAATAATGCAGGTATAATGGGAAGGAAGAAGTATTTTCTGAACAACAAAACTAACAATATCGCATACAATAATAAAAGATCAATCTCGCTAATGTTCCTTTTATATAAAAAAAACAAGTATTAATTATTGTTAAATGATCAGTATAGACACGTTTAATGTTAAGAATTTATCACAAGTCTTAATCATTGTTAATAAAAAATTTTAAGAAAAAGGGGCAAATTAGACCTTACAATAAAAAATTTGTCACCTCATGTCCTCATGCTAAGAATATAGACACGTTTAATGTAAAATCAAAGCAATCACTCTAACAATTTTACCTGATTTTGAGATTCTATATTAGTTATCCTTCGATAAGAATTACTCAATTTGAGAACATATTGGAAAAGTTGAAATTTCTAAAAAAAAATATAGAAGTAAAATCATAATCAGAGATTGCCTCTAGCATCTTATATTGGGAGAACTGGAAAGACAAATTATAAACAAAAAATTATATTTACAGTATTAGACTATCAGTGTCGGAGGGCTTAATCCTTCCTGAAGGATAACAGATAACAGATGCTGGAGGGAAGGGAATTGAAGCAACTTCCAGGCTTCAGGTACAAAGTAGAAGAGTGCTGTTGTAAAGGAAAAAGAATTACAAGAAGCTGGTGCTGATGGTCAAGTCATTAAGGTTAGACATTATCTGAGGGCGTGTAGTTCCAATCTGGTGAGCAATCTCAACCTGCTCCTCCAAACTCAGCATCTCATAACTGCACCACAAACCCACAACAAAGATTTGTAAATATGGGTATTTCTGGTAAGAAAGATGGAATGGAAGGGGATACATACCCTCCTCTGCTTGAGAGGATTTTAAAATATTAATCAATCTACTCCATATTAATTAAATACCAAACAACAGTCGAGTTTAAGAAGCTATTTATTAATCTTTCATTCCATTTCACAACGAAGCTGAGAATGAAATGATAATAGTACGAGCTGACCTGTCACATTCTTTAACATCATTGTACAATATATTCCACGTATGGTTCCACGACAATGATGTTATTTTCATTTTTTAAATCAATGTTTTAAATTTTTCCACCATGGGTGTATGGTTAAACTCTTAAAAGTAATATTTTAACATGGTCATTTTTTGTTTGTATTGGGTATTGAGTTTGGATCAATGTGGTGATATACCACCAAAATATATCACTCCGTATCAGCTACTTTGCATTCATAGTTGGTAGTTTGGACTTTTAATTTGTTATATTGTGCTATGCGGTCTTTTTTTCTTTCTTTAATTTTGAGGATGTTTTCTTTTGGATTGTTTTCAGTCACAGACCAGACCAGATCAGACCAGACCAGACCATACTTCTGTAGTTATAAAATACACAGAGACCAGACGTTTACCAGACCAGACCAAATCAGACCAGACCAGCAAATTTCAGTCCAAAAGAAAACTTCCTGATTATTTCTTATCTAAATTTCTAATTTAATGTTTTTTAGATGAATCTTGAATAGTATATACACTCCTTTAAGTAATATCATCAATAGTGATTATGGAATTTCAGTATAAATATATACAAAATTAACATTAATTGTTACATTTAAACGTAATATATGTCACTCCTGTACCCCCCCTCCCCCCAGGGGAGGTTTGGCGCCACGCGGCGCCACCGAGGCAGCATAATGCCCCTCAAAGCTCCGGCCCGACACCGGGGCAGTGTGACGCCCTGGGACAGCCGGCCTAAACCTAAGCCTAACGGCGCCCTAAACCTACCTGCCTAAAGCCTAAGCCTAACGACGCCCTAAGCGGCGCCCTAAACGTAACCTAAGGGCCGGCCTCAAAGGGGTTGCCAGCCCAACCCAGAGACAAAACGGCACTTGATCACAAATGGGGAGATTGTTAGAACTTTTATTGTGAGTCAAGTTTGTCTGTAATGTCTTGTTTAATAAAGTAGACTAGTTATACCATTTATGGTATTAGATTAGTAATCATTTTGTAATAAATGAGTTAAAGGGAATAAGGCCCAAAAAGCCCTTGTCCCAAATCCCAAGGTTTACCTAATTCGGTAACATGTACAACGCCTATAAATATGCGCGTTCCTGTACAGGTACCGATATCGATTAATACACTTTAGCCTTACGCTGCCAAAATACTTCTCGATATAATAGAAAGACGATTTCCAAGTTCTCGATATTGCATAAATCATTCTGTGAGATCGTTCTTCTCTGTTATTCAATGATATCCATCTAGCTGTGTGTTAGTCTACAGAAATCTGAGACCAACACGTTTCATCCCATTAACTTGGTCACTTTGTAGCAAATGGCCATCTTTATTAGCTAATCAGTTGCTTCCTTGTTGCCTTCTCTATGAGTTTTGGTCAGTGTTGGCCTGCTATCTATCCTCAAGTTTGTTTTTATCTTTAGCTCAAAGATTGTTGGCACTCCTGTCTCCAGGTCTCCTTTTCCTAACTCTGGATAAGTTTATAGCCCCAGTAGTTTGTGATTCTATCTCAAGCATATAAATACTTAATTTACTGCAATTGTAGGCCCCGAGATATATAGCTATGAGTTCAACAACATTAACAATCATAGCCTCAAAAGTCAAAACTGATTCCAAAGAATGTAAAAAACATAATAACATACTTCTTCTTTATTTTTAAATGTAACATTTTCTTTATGCAATCATTTCTAGAATGTTCCGCCCCAAGGAGATGATTAGCTTATACGTGCATCCAATACTCTCTAAAATGGTATTTAGCTTGTACATCCATCCAATAGCCTTAAAATATAAGAATATGGTGTTTTAAATTGATGCAAATTCGTTTAATCAATTGCAAACTGTAAATATGTAATCTGCTAGGAATTTGACATAAGTTCATGAATTGGTGGAAGATTGACAGAAATGCATACACTACATGCTTGTACATGAAAGCAGTGAATTAAAAAGCACTTTATCAGCAGCCTTATGTTTGGATGCGGGTCTAAAGGAGAGGTCGTCGTCCACTGTGCCAGAAGAGTTGATCGTTGGAGGAGATCATCGTAAATAGGATATGATGACGTGAATGTCCAAGAGCCTTGGCACTGAGCCACCTACTACCGCGCAGGTGGAGAGGCACCAGACTGAAAGTGTGATATTATCTCCAACAAGCATAGGTTGATTGTGAAATATTCAGACCATAATAGGGTAATATTTGTGATTCTGAAATAAAGGTATTTGGATGAGCTTTTTCTCCCAATTGTGAAGAAAATACGGACATCGCTTCTTTTTGCAAGTTGATCCCTTTTTTGCTTATTTGTTTCTTAAAGCTTTCGACCAATATACTTCTATCTCTAAGAAACATATATTTTGTGAAAATGTTTTCTAAACAAATCATATTGGGCATTTGTTTGATCGCGCAACGCGCGTATCAAAACTAGTATTCAATAAGGTTAAGTCATGTATTGAATGTACCAAAACTTCCACATGTACCAAAGAGTTTGGTAAATTATATGGTACACCCGGATGTACCATGAGTTTTTTGTCGGATGTGCATGGTACATCCGTGTTTTTTGTAATTGTATCAAACATTGAGGGCATTAATTTGGATGTTTGTTCTCTCTTTTGCTTTTAGGCTTAACGTGAGCTGCCATGAATTTTTGTAATTACTTGCAAAATGGAGATTATTAATTAGGGAAAATGGTGTTTGTTTCATTTATTTCTTTTCTGTTGCTTCTTCGGACAATCGGTGTCTTCCCACTTTCTCTTCACCTTTGTTTTCATTTCTTTATATTTTACACATTTCCCCCTCTCCACTTATCATTTGTTTGTAGCATCTCTTTTATGCTTATGTTTTTTTTCTTTTCTTTTAGTTATGAACTTCAATTTTAATGATTTTATCTTTTATTATTCTTTTTTCTGCTCCTTTTTTTGCTTTCCTTTAATTTTTGTAATTTTAACTTTTCTCTTTCTTTTTTGCTTCCGTTTTTTCTTTTTATGTATGAATTCTGTTTTTTGCTCCTCTAATTTTGAACTCATATTTCTTATTTATTTTTTATCTTATTTTTCTACAAGAACTTTTCACGCAACTCTTTCAAAAATTCATATCGAATGACAATTCAATAAAAATATATACTTCTCTCACTCTTATATTAAAAGCTCCAACCTTCTAAATAATTATAGGTATATTATTTAAATTAAATGTGCATTGATATAATTATTAAAAATAAGCACAATAAAATTTGTTGGTCTAATATAAGGTATTAATGTTTCTTTATGTTATAATGATATGAGCATACACAAATTGATATTTGAGCATACTAGAGATTTTAAATGACTTTTTAAATTTTTCGATACTTATTTCGTAGGTTATCTATGCTCATGTCATATTGGTGTAATGCTCATTTTATAATGAGCATTACTCAATACATTTTGAAACATCATATCCATTCATATTGATGTAATGCTTGTTTCAAAATTTTCAATGCTCATTTCATAGAATATGTATTCTCGTTTAATATTTGAGCATATTAGATATTTTAAATGAGTTTTTTTTAAATTTCGATGCTCATTTTGTAAGTATGTATGATCATGTGATATTGGTGTAATGCTCATTTTGTAAGTTTCATATCCTCATTTGGTGTTGATGTTATGCTCATTTTTAAAATGTTATATCAGTGCATGTCTCAAAAGTACCATAATACATTAAATTCACATATTCAAATTCTAAGAGTTGAGTATACATATAATTTAATATTTTTTTATAAAAGAAAAAAATTAGAAAAAGAAAGCGAATTAGAAGATATCAGACAAAAATCACGATGTTCATCGTTAAACTTCTAATATGCAATAAAATAAGTCTAATGATCATTAAAAGTGCACTAATGCTCATTTAGCGAAAGCTGTGAGTTTCATTTAAAATTATCATATCGTCACCAGTTGTACAGTGCTCACGGAGATAGGTGATCGTGTTTTCTCTATTCAAATAAAGAGTTTTTTCCTAAAATGTTACTAATACAAAAGTCATGGATGAAAATGTGACTTGGTAACTTATAGTTATTATAACTGTGTTCAAGGTTTACATCATGGTCACTAAATCATAGTAACTTTGAAAATAATTATAGTAACTAAAAGTTACCAAGTAACATTTTTGTTCGTAACTTTAAAAGAGTAATATTAGTAGAATTTTATCTAAAATAAAATGTTAAAATGTTGATGCTCTCATAATTTATGTTGGGCTTTTTAGAGAACACATTACAGAGAGCAGTGCATTGCGGGTAAATATACGGGCATACGGCCCAAAATTGGCTCTGAGCGAATCATCCAGGATTTCTCAAGTGGTGCCTTCTCTTCCTTCCATTCATCAACAATACGGATCTTCCCATTTTCTTCTCAACCCTGCGCAATTCAGGAAGAAGAAGACACCGCACTTTGAAAAATGGGGAAGCAGCCAGTTAAATTGAAGGCCGTCGTTTACGCTCTATCTCCGTTCCAGCAGAAGGTGATGCCTGGCCTATGGAAGGACCTTCCCGGCAAGATCCACCACAAAGTTTCCGAGAACTGGATCAGCGCTTCCCTCTTACTTGGGCCTCTCATCGGCGTCCATTTGTACGTACTACTGTACCCCATTCTCTTATGCAAATCGATTCCCATGCTGAAAAGATAGTTTTTTTTTCGCTCCGGCTGTATCTGTTTATTTATAATCCTGTAGTTAGTGAATGATTGAAAACTATTAATATTCAATACAAATTTAACATAAAATATGGGATGACAATTTATTATAGGTAGGATGTACTGCACTTTGAGAGGATTCGTGAATGTACAAGTTGGTTTGATAAACTATGGGGCCTGGATGAGTGATTGCAGTTAATTAGGATTTAGGATCATGAAATACTCCGTATTGATAGCTTCACTTTGGCATAGAAGAGTGCAGGAAGAGTTACATGGTTGATTTAATATGTGGTCTGAGTTTGAATTGCGTGAGATTTGTGCTGATTGCACTAGGCTTCAATCTTATAGTATATATATAGAAATAAGGGAAAATGGAAACTAATAATCCAACCTTTTAGCGGTCTTCTTATAATAGTCCCACCTTTTGATTATTCATGAATAATCCAACCTTTGCACCTCATCTTCATTCACTGGTCCCTGACCGGTTGATGACCTACTATTCCAAGTTATTTTCTTATTTTTGCAAAATATTATCTTTGTGAAAGGTGAGATTTATGGTATGATGGTTTGCAAAGATAAGAAAATAACTTGGAATAGTAGGTCATCATCAGGGACCAGTGAATGAAGATGAGGTGCAAAGGTTGGATTATTCATGAATAATCAAAAGGTGGGACTATTGTAAGAAGACCGCTAAAAGGTTGGATTATTAGTTTCCATTTTCCCTAGAAATAATGAAAGGTCCCCTGAACCTTAGGTTATTACATTGTACTCCCTATTATGACTACAATATCCTAAAATAGTGAAAGAATAAGTTTTTATCCTTCCATTTCAACTGGACTCATAAATCACTACTCTCCAGTTTGTCAAGTACTACGCTATTGATATCAATTTTCATCGTAACTAAACATGTACTCTTTTTTTGAATATGAAAACCATAAGTGTAGCTTGAGTGAAAAGGTAAATTTTAATCTATGCTTATATAATAAAAGCCAACATACGTTAGCATGGTCCTATTTCCATCCAATTGCAATTTGCAACTTGTTCCGTCAACATAAACATCTAAAATTAACGGCTTAAAAGGTGTCTTTAAGTCACACTCGCCTATTCAACCTTCCCTCTACCATTATGAAACTGTCATACACAGCCCCGTCTGTAGCAACCTCCACGAACACATATACTTCCGAAGACAGAAGGTCTAATATCTCCATTCTCTTTTTCATCTTTCTCTCCACCAACAACAAGGTATTTTCTATCACCTCTACTTTTTAATTCATCTTTTTCTTCTATTGCATATTTCTCATAGTATGAACTTACTAAATACTAAATAACTTGATGATCGTTACAACACATCTGCAAGTTAGGCATCTCCAAACATGATTGCATGCTTTCCAACTTCGGTGCACTCAATTATACTTTAATTTATTATTCTAAAAACTCCTAAACATTTCAAAACAGCATTATCGTACACTCTAGGGAACGAGATGCACTATTTCTTCTATTTCAAAATTGTTGTTCATAACCAACGAACCCAATTTACCTTAGTTGCTCTGTACTCGTAAAGTTTAACCATAATAGCTGTTACTAAGCAGATATATTTAGAGTTTGTGATTTTTTCACAATTCAAAAAGGGCCTTAATTAATGTACCGCTGCCTCCATAGTGTTCGTCAAAATACCTCTAAAATGGTTTGGAAGTATGTACTTGGCCGCTAGAACATCTAACTATAGCTTCTTAAACTTAAAAGGGAACGTTTAATTTGCTAATAACAATGGGGCTCAATTATATAACCACCAAGACAAGCACGTTTTCAAGGTCATACATCATAATTACAAAAAAGTAGTGAGCACATTTCACTGCACTAATCCTCAACTAAACATCCCCAAATATTAATTAATTACTTTCTTTAACAACCTTTTTCATTTCCTCCACGGCTCCACTAGCTGGCCAAATTCACAAAATTAATTACTTCTTTTATAATTCATATGTACGGATAAGTGGAACACTGTCTACACAAACAGAAGCAATAATCTTAAATTTGGTCTTGCATAAAAAAGGTGTTTTTCATTTTTTTTTAAATAAAAACTTTTCAAAGTTGCTCAAACAACTCATAAAATTAGTATAAAATGCTGATTTTTTGTCACTAATTTTTTGGTATAGGTAATGTTGATCATATCATCTCCTACCATTTTCAATAATGCAGCAACATTTAGTATAATAACATGTTTTCAATGTTGATCATATCATCTCCTACCATATAATAATTATTATAGACAGTTGAAGTATACTAACTTTAGTGTACAAATAACCCATATTTTCAAGTCGAGTATACTAACTTGTTTTTGAAGAGTTGCTAATAGATACATTTAAACCATGTAATAATCAGTATACAAGCATATACTCTGTATAAAAATATACAAAGTTAGAAGTTTTGCCTTTCCCCCCTTTTTTGGTAGTTGTGATTGAAACTTGTAAGAATCTCCTTGCTGACTGAATTTATCATTACATTCATTGCCTTCTTTCAATATGAGTTTCCATTTTGTTTTGGGGATTCAACACATCAAGTCACTCAAGGACTTGATTAGTAGATTGCACATTAGTTGGTAAAGAGAGACACAACAAAGCCATATCTTTCTTCATGTTTGTGTGTAAGAGTGATTATGGTTTTCACTGCAACAACAAAAGTGAGGTCTCTGATTTCATCATTAAGAGATTTGCATTCAATAGTATTGGGAGTGAAGTTAATTATGAACTTTCATTAGATGATTATAAATAATCATTTCTTAGTATACGATGAATGTTTGACACTTTATTTCTTGCTAATGAGAAAGATGAGTTATTACAAATGGTACATATTTCAGATATCCATGACATTGGGTAGAAGATTATTTGAAAATAAAATTTGCTAAACCGATGATATAAGATGTTGTATAGACAAAACTAAAAAGTTCTCATTTAAATATTCATTAAGATGAGATAGCTATACATGTTAGTTAAAAAATGGATGTAAGTAGTTGCAATAGTTTCTATCTGCACCTCAATTATTTACGAAACTACACTAGCATTTTAAAATATACATTCCTTGATTTTGAGCTGCAATTATTCCAGCTAACCCTTCAAATTTATGTCCTT